CAGCTCATTCAACACTTCCAAAAGAATTCCGCTAACAAAAGTAGCCAGTAACCAATCGTAAATTCGGTAAGTACTCATTTTAACCGTCACCTCTGTACCCTTATCATAACGGTCATTGGATAAATTGTACGATAGCCAAAAAATGTCTACCTCCGAATTCTCTACAATGCTTAAAGTTGATTGGCTAATCCACCTCACTTATGCCCACCATATATTAAATATAAAAAGATTATTCAAAAGGTGAGGATTTTAAAAATCAAATTCAACCATTTACCATTAAATTCCTTTGGATTATTTAATTATAATAAATCCTGAACTACTAATTTGAAAATAATATTTTTGTGACATTTCTGGATATTTTGTACATAGCTCTTCAAAAATAACTTCCGAGTAAGTAACCACGTTGTCATATTTTATTCGTCCATGATTGTTGCTGTTATTGTCGCAGTTAAATTTTTTACTGGAAAATGAACTAAATGAACTCGGATATAATTTCTTAAAAACCCTATATATACAATTGTACAGCTTGATAATAAATTTGTTGAAAAGTGTCTCTTCACTAAATATTGTATTCTGATCAAATAAGTACTAGGATAAATTAACTATATTTTAAATATCTATGACAACCGAATCCGCAGAAAAGATAAGGAAAGGCAAAGTCAGTGAACAAATGAATTATTTTAATTGAGGAACAAATCCTACTTGTTAGGAAAAAAATACATAACTGGAACATACCAAGTAGATCTAAAACAAGATTATAAACATCCAAACCACAGATGTTACAAATTTCCTGGAATAAAATCCGAGTAGTTCTGTTAAAGAGGCTGTTACTCACATAGTGAAACGTTCAGAAAAATCTTGTTTTGATATTCTAAACACACTAGGATTATTTTAAGTAATTTTATAACGGATGTGAAACATTTGACAGGGAGCGAACCAACTGGTTTGTCCACTCTTCTACACATACTGTTAATTTGTTGCACTGCAACTCGTTGTGTCCAGGCTATATTTTTCATACAAAAATAATACAAATCAGTGTTAATCATTGGTTCAGAAGTTGTTTGTCTACTGTCTTACTGACTGAGACAAGAGATAGTAGTATAAGTTGGTCCACCTCTCGTCAAGATAATAAACGTGATGTCAGCCCTAAGATGTATTTGCAAAGCACAGGATTTCTATATGTTGAGAAAATGAAAATGAGCTAGTTTCGAGAGAAGATATAAGGTTCTTGTAAAGGATGAAGACACTTTTCTATGGGTCATAAGACTCAAATACATTTCTGAGAAGCCTTAAATAAATGATTTTCATGTAGCAAGTTATTTCGAATCCTAACGCAATTGAGCGATGTTGACATTCTTAGACTAAAGTATCTTTGGAAATAATCAAAGTGGTTCTTGGGCATTACTACTATTGGATTGTCTGAATGCCTGTTATTAACCTAACTTTTCTTTATAGTAACTGTCTTTTATATTTACATGCATGATACTTCCGATCGACAAATAACACTAGTTTCCTATTCCTCTCATATTTAAAGTTGCGCTTTACTTCTTGAAGAAATATCAGATATTATGACTTCGATAACGTATAAAAAATGAAGAAAATTTCTTCTATTGCATGTACATCTATCTTCAGTGTGAACTGTTGAATTTCCACTATCTGTCAGTGATTCGTTTAAGATAGTAAAACAAGATAAATCAAGAATAATCAGTAAAGTTCTTAGGAGAAAACACAACGATTAGACTTAATCTACTTTGATCCCATAGGTTACAGATGCGATTACATTTTTCAACTCATAGAAGTTTCTTCCGATGTTTTTATTACTGTTCTGTAATACCAGATTATTTGTTTTTATTTTCCGAATGTAATTGTATGTTTTTTTTAAAAAAAAGGTTGTTTATTCATAAGGTAAATGATTTCATGAGGATTGGTGTTTTCTCAAATTGAATGAACACGCTAAGAGCCTACTTTTTAAGCTAAATGAATGACTCTTGGTGGATGTGGGTTTTCAGAGACTGGATAAGAATTCGCTCTACTTTCTCTTTAAAAAGAGCAAAAACTTTCGACTGTGCTTGCTTGAATGTTGGTTATTCAAAGCATCAGCTGACAACATGTAGTATTATCAATCGACTCAAGCCTAGTACAGTTCTTAGGTAAGCTGGAAATACAAATGATGAAGCTGAATATCCTCTTTCTGATTAGATATGCTACACATTATACTAAATAATAATAATAGAAAATTGCTGAGAAATTTGCGCACCAATCTATATATTCTCCTTATGCCACTGAATTTGATGTTATATGTAATTAGATAGTTTGGGCAAATGTAAGTGAAAGGTATTTAGTCGTTAGAAAGTCTCACAGATGAGATAAAAGATTCGTTTTTTATATCTTTCTCTTTGGTGGAATAGCATGAGGTATTTTAATAATATCTGTGACATGACAAAGAGGGTTAAGAGTATCTGGTTTTCTTATTACCCCACAACAGGAGAACAGTAAATACCCTTGTATAAAAACTGATATTTTAAGACAGGTAAATCATTTGCTGTATGTTAACTGTATCCAGCTTCTTAACACACTGCTAGTCATTTATCAGGCAACCTACTTCTCAGTAATTTTCCATAGAAGTCCTGCTGAAAGCCCTAATGTCAAGTATTATCGTACATTTAGCAGACTAACTTCTTTATTTGTCATACAGGCAGAACATGATTACATCATTCTCAGTTGTGTTTTACCTGCAAAGGATGACAATCAATTGCTTCTCTTATACCATGAGTTTATGGATGGTAGTAGTCAATTAAAGCATATGGTTTCCTTTCCTTTTTCTGCAAGGGGTCCAGTAGTTTTACCTCTCTCTTACATAATTCTATTTTAAACAAAACCTGGGGGCAGATCTATTCAAAACCATTAGGTAATATAGTTCAGAGCTAATTTTTTTACTACTTCATATGTATCTGATTAATAGGTCCCCATTTCTACTGGCTAACTGATGAGTTCTCTAACAGGTTCACCATCTTTAGTGCTATCCTTCACTACATATGTAAAATCACCTAAAATGTCACAACATTTTTCACTAGCCTGTGAGCTAATTCCAGAAAGTTTATAACTACACACATTTCCCCGTTGTTGTCTAAAAGACTTTCGGATAAGTGGTTCGCTTCGAAATCTTAAATGAGTTAGCTATGCTCTTGTTGACTGTCGTATCTATACCTACATATTGTATGATCTGTAACACAACCAGATATCTTAAACAATAGTGAGCTCTTTTGCGCGAAAGTGCTCTTCGTTTCAAATGATCTGTGTATTATCTGTCTTGAACTATAGTCTTTAACTCTGTTGTGTCACTGTATTTGATATTCTAGTGTTTCGAAGCTTGTGGTGTTGATATAAAATCAACTGTTAAAAAGGTTAACTTCTAGTCCTCAAACGTGTTCTCTTGATTTTACAATTACTCTCCCACTTTCATATATGTGCACTACTCAGTCCTAGTCAAACATTAAATTTATGACAAACTACCAACTCACTGAGTAATCAGTTTCCTTACGGTTCACTATTAAAAGTGATGACAAAGGGTTAGGCATTGTTATAAGTTGGTTAGAGAGAAATTTTTATTACGTAACACCAAAGCTATTCAATAATGTTACATAATTCATTTTTTTGTTAGTTTCTTATAAAAAAATGAGTAATACATGTTTGAAAACTGTAATTATGAACTTATCACTTAAGTGTATGGTTTATTGTTGCACAAAATTATGATACAGGGTGGGGGAACAATCGAAATATAAATGGCAATACGATAGTAAGAAACGAGAAGGTTAAGTGTGCACAAAGAAGGTGTCCATCAGTTTCACACACTATACGTCACACATGATTCAATTGTCATATTAAATGACTTTTCACAAATAGGTTGGTTTTAACATACTTTTCTTTAACGGAGTGTTAGCAGACACGTAGATGGGAAAAACTAAGGAGTGGTAAACAGCTGTTCCATCCTAATTTAAAATTGAACAGTAGCGTGCGCTTGCACTCTCAATTTTGCTAACATTCGATGCACATATGTACTCACAAAGAGTTCTGACAGAATTCGACTTGACTTAGTATTAATTCGTAGACACAAACCGTTAAAGAGTCACTATCTAGGACGACACACCTATGCAGTGCTTCTTATTCTCTAACACATCCTACTTTATTTTAGTTCCTTATGAATCTAATTCTGTGTTTCAGACTGTTTGACTACAAAATATTCTTTTAGAGTAAGAGAACTAACTAAAATTTGTCAAAATGATAGTTTATACGGTAAATATAATTTCTTTTGAAAATGCACAGAATAAATGTTACAAACAAAGAGGAGAAACGTTTATTGTATGTGTTTAAAAATTTGGTTCGAAGGACTGCTACAGATTTGAGAAGTAAATTAGTCAGTGGTGTTTTTGAGTTTGGATCAGACCACTAAGTAGTAGAAATTTTCCGGAAATTCATAACACTTCTGAATAAATGACAAGCTACCCCTTTCAGTCTTTCACTCTACCTATCAAGTTTTGAAGGTGTAATGTTAAACTTTGGCTTGTGGTGCTTACTGAATTGAAAGCACTGAGATATACGGAGGAATAGCCGAGGCGCAAAAGTGCACGTTAAGTTTCCAAAGATAAGTGCCCACTCGGTAGCACTATGGATTTCTCTTAATTAGAATTCTTAGGATGGGTTACAACACTATTGTTCTCTGTGCAATAAAAAATAATGAATAAGTGTTATTCTCTTTTTTCCTCACTCCTGATCCAGGTGACGATTCTTCACTTATCTGTGAATCATTTATCACCGATACGCCGTTATTAAGCCTGCTGGAACGAAACAGACAGAAAGAATCTCGAGTGATCGACTCAGACATCTGCATAATAAGTTTTTATATTTTTTACTGCAATCATTTCTGACAAAGCAGACATTTTATTAGAAGAATCCTCTCTTTGCTGTCTTTATTTACTCCAGATAACACAGTCTACAAAAATATGTTCTGTATGTCAAGATCTGTGAAGATTGTAAACAGTGATTCCACAGAAAATTCAACTGACAATAAATTCATAAGCTCCAGGAAGCTTTATAACTCAAACAATCTGAATAACACGTCATATGTTAAACCAATGGCCACAGAACTCGTTGATAGTGTGTCATTCACACCTCATTCAGATAATAAAATGGAATCTCATTTTTCATGCCCTCAAAGTCAGGATTTGCCCACAATGTCTTCGTCATATAGTGTCAGTGTCTCTGATAAATGCAGTGGTTCCCTGTCAGTTACTAGTCCACCTGAATTAGCGACCCACTATTCTTTCCTGAATCAGAATCGCAATCCTCAGTCTATATTTTATACAAAAACAATGAGCTCACGTCCAGACGCTCAGAGTCATGAGCAGTGTAATTCGACATGTGATAATTCTCTTGGGTCTAAAGTCGCATCATCGTGTAATTCATTTCTAAATTCATTGGGATTTGATCACCAGTTTACCAGAAATAATACTCAGCCACGTAGAACCTCTACGACTGTGTCAAACAAAAATAGAGACAGTTTCTGCGACTTTGAGACAGTTGACAGTGAGGATATCGGAGACAATGACCATATTTCTAATTATCATCAGAATCAATCAAATCCCAATCTCCTCAGACTTTTATCCAACTGTAACCAATTAATTGGGGATTCATCGACGGAAAAGCCGTATTCAGTAGCAACACTATCATCATTTTTATATTCACCAGAACCTTCAGTTTTAAATACTAACGCAGCTCTTTCTAATAAAACTTCAACTTTGTTTACTTCAACCCTGAAAGCCAATTTTAATTATTCTAGTGAAAATTCTTCTCTTGACAGGAAGACAAACAGTCATCAGGCCGAGAATGGTGATGGCGATATTGTTGAAAAGTACGACAGTGAGAGCAACTTTAAGTATAATGAGACCACTCATTCAGACACATACTCCTCATGGATGCTTAAAAACTACGTACAAGCAAATAATCCAATCAGGTTAGATCAGCCATGTACTAGCAGTGATGAAATTCATGAAGTACCATTTTCTTCAATTGAGAATTATTCTTCAGATGTATATAACCCCTCTTTATCACTACCAATGTCTTTCTCACCTTTCTCTCCATCAATAACCCATGACTGTAGTTCAGTAGAGGGAATCAGTCAAAAAAATACAAGTGCTCCTGATGGCAATGAAATTACTGGTATGGTAAAATATGATGAAAAACACCCAAATCCATTAATTTGTCCACCTTCCTCCACATCTTCGTCCTCTTGTTCCTCTTCTTCTTCGACGTCATCATCACATTCTGACCATAACCACCATAACTATTTCGTGCAATCGGATATTCCTCCATATCTAACATCACATCTTCAGGCAGTAGAGTGGAGTTCTAAACTTCAGTACAATTCTCATGATAACAGGTGTCTGCATCACGAAGACAGACATCAGGAACAACAAAAGCAACAAATATTTCTGCGTTATCCAAATCCGACGGAAACTGTTAAGTGGATGCCTAGACACCTAATAACGATGAGTGCACAGGAACAGCAGCAAATCACAGACTATATTCCATTGGATGAATCACACTCAGTGATAAGTAAACTTCACATGGATTATAATTCACAAATTAGCATCGACAAACAACCTTCATTAAATGAAAGTAAGTCATTTTATTTAATTAACATTCAAAAGTTTTATTGAACATATATCAAAACTTTGTGAATAAGCCTTCTTTTGTTAACACCGATAACACACCTTTTTCGTTTAACTGATGAAGTCTCACTTAAACCGCGAACAAATGACTACATTGCTGGGATATAAATCTAACTCACTGAGAATTATGAGATGTTCAATAGAATTTAAATTCCTAATAGAAGTTTTCAACATTCTACACTCGTTATGAGTGTACAATTCACGACCTTAAACTCTTGCATTACCGAATTGCAGCAGAAAATTGATTCATAATGGCGTAAACACCAATTTGATTGATCAAAACTATTTCACCTAACTGGTCTCATATCTTTCAGACAGGTGTACACCTTTAGATCTTCGTTATTTTCACTAGACTTCGTCGTACCTCCTTTTTTACAGGAGTCGAAAACAACGTAAGTAGCATAATGTAAGTATGATGTAGCTACTCTGTTGGATTGTCCGACTGGTACATTTTGGGGAAGTATCATGCGCCAATACTTTGTCAAACTAAGTTGTTCATCCTGAGTGGTATTTATTCACCAAATCCTTTTCCACATTCACTTATTTACGTCACTATTACAGAAAAGTTTTTCGGAAAAATGTTTCGAAATTATAAATAACTATTAGCAACTTTTTGAGGAAATGTTATTCGGTTTCAAAGAAGCTTTATCAGAACATTGAATAGGTTTTCATTTTTGTCAGGTTTATGGAAGCTTTACCCATACGTCCATATAACTAGAATGATCCATGTTCCCTTATTATGTCTTTCAAGAAGCAAGGATGATCCATTTTGAGTTATGCGTTTATTATTTCTTGGAAAAATGAATTTCCAAATCTTGTAATCGAAAAGTCACTATGAATTAAACACTGTTTATCACCCAAGAAACAATTTTTAGGGATTTTATTACGGATTGATGTCAATCAGAGAACTACTGAAAGCCAGGGAGTACTGGATAGTTGTTTCGTCCTAGTTTGGGACTCTCCACAGTACGCACCCGCGACCACATTAGGGATCGAACCTGGACCTTCAGGTCACAAGGCAAACCTCATTTACCATTCAGCCATTTGACCTGTGAATTTTGACTCCTGTCAATTCGCGATTTTAGCACCACAATCTCCTGTATCCTTATGATACCCAATAGTGAATTAAGCATTATATTAGACATGAGAACTAGACGGATTATGTTTAGGCAGTAAAATGACACTTCGCCAGTTCAGATAAATGAAAGAAAATATAGGTGGTTGTTTCAACTTTAGCTAATTAGTTACGCAAATACAATAGCCATTTATTATCATTTTTAAGTTGAATTTAGACTTTCTGGAAGCTATTCAGTGCCGGATGAGTAATTAAAAAAACCTTTTCTGAAGTTGTATAGAAAAGTCAAAGTTTGAAGATCCAACTGAATTTCATTCTGAGTTTCACCCAAAATACTATCGACAGATGAACTCACAATTTCCGGGCTGTGCATGACGACGGATTTAATTTTAAGCAATAATTTGTAACGGAAGCTGGGGAAATTCTTCAACTTCGATTTTATCTTAACATAGGTCATTTAACTAAGTGTAAAGTCTGTAAGTAGTACTTGAGGACACAGTTGAGCAAAACTTACAAAAGTCCTCGAATGGCATGACATTTTACAAAACGAAAGTGTGAACATCGACTGAACTGGATTAAGTAATTACCTAACGGATGCAATCAATATTTATTTTGGTTGAAGCTCTTCTATTGATTTAAATCTGTATTAAAGAAGACTTATCGGTTTGTGTTACTTTGACAGCTTTGTCTAACAAGAGCTTATTTATGATATGTTTATCAGTGGTTTCAGTGTTCTGATCACATTACCGAGTAAATAATTATCTTGTTGTTTCCCTCTCCATTCGTTGTTTTCTTTTCACTCCCCCAAAATTAGTAGTAGAAGAAGAAGCACGTGGTGTTACGTAACTTCAGTGACGCCAGGCACTACATGACTTAATCGCGTATGACTAGGAGCAACAGTGTTTCATGTTTCTTTTAGCTTTTTTTGGGTTATCGTATTTATTATATGAAATTATTAAAGGGCAACACGTTTGTCAGTCAAATGTGCATGCGCACTATCTTTTCCATTCTCATTTAAAACAATCAAAATAAAATTAGCAGACTTTTGAGTTGCACAATGTGTGAAGTCATTCTGTATGGGGAACTGTGAGCATATGGAGTAGTGTAGAAATCCAGGTAGCTCTGGACTGACACGTATTTTGTTTCATAATTCCATTACGGGTAAAATTTACTTTGATAAATTCTCACAGTGTTATACAGTAATAATGGAATTATACTCTACCACAGTGCATAAGTTCTTTTCTTATATTTTGTTTTATTTCGGAACACTTTTGTGCTGTGGTAAACATTTGGACTCTCATACACTGCAAGAAATACATTTATTTTCGTTTTTAGATGATGACGATTTCAACTCCGATCGTTTAGTCATGGTAATATTCAGTCGATAGACATATTCTTTAAACAGCTAGTTTCATAAGGAGTACTTAGCAATGATAATACTGATCCAGAACTTATTGGGAACTCGTTTCTTAATCAGTCTTCCAACATTTTATTAGAGATTAATTCACTATGGAGTAAACTCAATGCCTTGTTAGGATAGACAGCCATGGATAAAGTTACGAATATTATTAATAATTGGTGATAAATAAATTGACAGGACAAAAATGCGTTCTTTATGTGGATGAAGGATTTCTCAATGAAGTACTTCACCAACCTCTACAAATATGTACGTATATATTCGAATTTCATAATTTGTAATCTGTCACTAGTTGTAACCATATTCAATGTTGATTTGAGGTTCTAAATAGCACATGTAACCTGACTCATGCATGTGTAGGGGTCAGTATCGGTTTGTTTTACCAATGCAGACTACATTCAACTAGTAAAATATGGGTGGCGTTTCCCCGGTTAAATATAAATCTAACACGTATATTACTTTATTTTTAAGAGTCACTCTTAGCACAATAGCCTGGAAATGGGAAATATTGTTGTTAATTTGTCTACAATATCCTCAGTCGATTATATCCTGTAGCTTTAGAGGTAGTAACAATAACCTTAAAATTGGTATATTTCTAAAGAATGGAGAATCTGAACGAAACGTTCCAGTATTGTTTCCCAATGAGGATTGTCTTTACGTTCATACCTTAAAATGCTTGATTTTACCATCATTGGTTGGCAATTAACAGTCTTTTTGAAACATCTTTATAGTTGTATAGTACTGGCCATTTTTAATTTAAGAAGCTGAGCTATATAACCCACATTTTTCCTTTGGTCATTCCTATGTGTACTACTTTTTTGCATTTAATTTTCATCCAATTCAGAAGACATAACAGTGACATTTCCAGTTTAACAAAAGCTGTATATTCAAGTGTTGGTTTGTAGGGATTTGATTGGTTACAGGATTTCATCATGAGCTGAAATTAGTTAGAGAACCATTGGAAAACCTGGGAGTACTGGACAGCTGTTTCGTCCTAGTTTGAGACTCTTCATCAGTATGCATACACCAGGGTTCGAACCCAGGACCTTCTGGTTACAAGGCGAGCTCGTATACCATTAAGCCACTGGGACCCGATCCAATGGCCCATGAATTCTAACTTCTGCCAATTCACGACATAGCGCGACCGCTAGCCAATGTCTTCGGCGAGTATTTGTCCTTACACCCGACCTGCTGCATCCTACTGGTCACGACTTCTCACTAGAACCCCAGGTAACTACCTACCTGAATAGGACAAGTCGCTAGTGAACATGTCATTGATATTCAAGTGTTGGTGGCTGAAGAGTCCCAAACTAAGACGAAACAGCTGTCCAGTACTCCCAGGTTTTCCAATGGTTCTCTAATTAATGTCAGCTCATGATGAAAAGCTGTATAATAAAGTATAATTATATTTCAATACTCTTCACACAATGATAAGTTTTGTTATTGGTAATACTTCGAGCAAAATTACTGCCCGTGTTCATACCACTGTTAGAATTGTTTTGTATAATACTTTCCAATTTGAAAAAAAACTTGTATGGAGCACTAATCCCTTCATTCTGACTTATCAACTGGTAAAATTTCTGAAAGTGAGTATTTATGCAATGTCAGTAAATGGCCTTTTAATCTGTTGAAAATGATGAAGTAGTAGACGGTGTATAATATGACTTTGACATTCGGGCCCTGCATTGTGCTCATTAGTTCAAGTGCGTTTTCACCATTTCCTAATTCTTTACTTTTATCATCTACACGTTACCAGAATACTTTCGGGTGGACAGTGAAAGTAATCACTCTGCTAATTTTACTACTGCATAATTTTGTTTCGTCAAAAAACTTCTCACTAAAAGCACCTAGAACGGAAGTGTTACCTGACTGTCGTATTACCACTACTATCTTCTCAGTTTTCATGAAGACTTTATAAATAATTACCAGGAAAGAAAAGATGTTGTCTTCTATGGCCGGTCACCACCTGACACGTTGTTTTGTAGCAAATACTGAGCTATTTACAAATAATGTTTATTTTGAACAATGATAATTAAGGCCATGAACTAGCAAAAAGTCAAGCAGTCGTGGCTGCAGTATGTCAATCGATGAATCAAATGACATGAGATAGCTAAAGAGAAGATAAATAAAAATCAGAGTGCTGCAGATGTGTTTATTCATGTATTTTATATATACTTACCAATGCATGAGTGAATATGGAGACGATACAAACTAACATTTTTTGCTTGCTCAATGTAAGAGATAATTCTAGAGGACAAAACATAATCTGTATACGTATTTCTCCTATCCAATAGTGTAGTTTTTCATGTGTGTATATCCATAAAAGTGTGTAAGCATGCAGTTATCAGTCAGAATGTGTGTACATTTCAAAAAAATATTTATTTTTCATGATGGCACCTCATAAATCTTATTCTGCTAACACCCACCATAAAAAAAAACCTGAAGAAAAATAAAA